ATCGCTCTCTGGCAGTCTACTATGCTGAGTTGAGTGGTGCTGGAAATTTGTGTTAATGCATATAATAAGATAGTGGCATATGATAGTGGTGTTGGTGGTAGATAGTGGCATGTATAGAATATGATAGTGGTGTTGGTGGTAGATAGTGGCATGTATATAATATGATAGTGGTAGATAGTGGTAATATATAATATGTAAGTGGCATATAATGGGTTATAATGATGTTTGTAATATCTCCTATATAAGGAGTGTCATTTGGTCTTGTAAAATAAGAAGTTTTGAATATAACAGAAATATATTCCTTCTTCCTCATATTTTCAGAGTTCTTCTTCCTCATATTTTCTAAGTAGTGGTTTATGGCAGAAGCTAGATTTCTACCAGAGTTTCCAACCAGTTTGCTCCATGGATGCCATTATGTTTCAGCAGGCTGTGGAAAAGGAGCGGGTGTATGACTTTCTTGCTAGCCTGAATTTAGAGTATGATCAGATACAGGTTCAGGTGTTGGGTCGCTTTCTGTATCCTACATTGCGTAAGGCTTATGCACTGGTTTAGCAGGAGGAGAGTCCTTGTAGTGCTATGGTGCATGCTCCTGTTCCGGATCGGTCAGCGATGGTTGTCTGTCCCAAGTCACGTGATACTCCGCCTTGTCAGCCTCAAGGTGGTGGTAAGGGTCCATTGGTTGATCGAGACCGATTGAAGTGTGAGTATTGTGGAAAAGATCGACATGATAAAGAATACTGTTGGAAGTTGCATGGCTGACCTACTCGAGGCCGTGGTCGTGGTGTTCGTCCTCAAGCACATGTTTCTGGGACTATTGCTAGTGCCTCGAATGATGCTAATTCTATTTCTCAAGATGAGCTTCACACTCTCTGACGTTTGATGGCTCGACTTGATTCTTCATATGCCTTAGCTCCGTCCTCTTCTGCCTCTTCCAACTTCGCCCACACAAGTATTTCTGCTAGTGCACTTAGTGCCTCTTCGTCATCTCCTTGGATCATTGATTCCGGTGCTACCAATCACATGACGAGTACTTCTAGTTTTTCCATTCTTATTCACCTAGTTCTGGGCTCTGGGCGAGATAAGGTTAGAGTGGCTGATGGCACTTTATCTTCTATCTCCGGCAAGGGTTCTGTTCATTGCACCTCTTTACTTTCGCTTTCATCTGTTCTTCATGTTCCTACTTTTTCAACTAACTTACTTTTTGTTAGTAGCCTTACTACTACTCTCAATTACTCTGTAACCTTTTCTCCGACTCATTATGTCTTTCAGGAATTGGCTACGGGGAAAATGATTGACAGTGGTAGAGCACAAAGTGAACTGTACTTTCTGGATGCCATTCGTGCATCACCTTTGTCCTCTCAGGCTCTTCAATGCACTTCTGGCTCCTCCCTTCGTCTCCTTCATTAGTGGCATCGCCGTTTGAGGCATCCTTCCTTTAGCATTTTAGAGAAACTTTTTCCTTTATTAGTTCGGGATTGTCCTAGGAATAACTTTGTTTGTGATGCTTGTGAGCTTGCTAAGCATAAACGTACTTGTTATCCTTCAATTAATAGAAGTACTTTTCCTTTTATGCTTATTCATACCGATGTGTGGGGTCATTCTCCTGTGGTTACCTCTAGTTATTAGTGGTTTGTCACATTTATTGATTGCTATTCCTGTGTGACTTGGCTTTATTTACTTCGTACTAAAAATAAGATTTTCTCATGCATCAAAAGTTTTCATAAAATGATATCCAATCTCTTCAATGATACTATCAAAATTCTTAGGAGTGATAATGGACTGAATATGTTGATGGCGTTTTCAGGGCATACCTCGAGGAGCATGGCATTCTTTATCAGACTAGTTATGTTGGCACTCCTGAACAAAATGGAGTTGCTGAACGCAAGAATGGCCACCTCCTTGAGGTTGCCCGCTCTCTTGTTTACCATGAACGTTCCTAAGTCTTTTTGGGAGGAGGATGTTCTTACCGCGGCTTACCTTATTAACCGTATGCCCTCTAGTGTCCTCCACTTCCAAATTCCTCTTGAGCTTCTTCCTGTGACTTATCCCACTTATTCCTTTCCGCCTCGGGTTTTTGGTAGTGTTTGTTTTGTTCATCTTCAACCTCGTACTCGTGGGAAGCTTGATCCTAAGGTTGTCCGGTGTGTCTTTCTTGATTATTCTGCTACTCAAAAGGGCTACAAATGCTATGACTCTCACACTCATAAGCTGTATGTTAGTATGGATGTCACCTTCCGTGAATCTGAGTCCTTTTTTTCTGGTCCTCCGCTATCCCCTCAAGGGAAGAATGGTATTGATGAGATTGCGGATGAGACAACGGCATCATATCAACATGAGTTGTCTTTTTTCCTTCCTAATCAACAAGTTGTTATTTGTGGTGAGGGGGAGCCTAGCAGTTCTGTTGATGAGGAGTCGGATATCGGTGGTTGTTTGGACAGAGCTAATCTTAAGACTTGTTCACGACGTCAGAAAGAGCAGGCATCTCTTGTGTCACCAAGTCAATCATCATCTCCTATGCCAGTTCCACACCCAATTTCCACTGAGACTACAGGTAATGATCCTCAATCCATTTCTTCAACTGTTGTTGATGGTCCTGTTACTGATGATTTGAGTCTTCCTATTGCTCTCAGAAAGGGGATTAGAGCTTGTACTCAACACTCTATTTCTAAATTCATGTCATATGATTCATTGCCTTCTCCATATTGTGCTTTTGTTTCGTCTTTTTCTTCTGTGTATTCCGCAAGATTGGAAAGAAGCCATCAATGATCCTAAGTGGAAGGTAGTTATGGTAGATGAGATGCAAGTTTTGAGTAAAAATAACACATGAGAGTTGGTGTCTCTTCTTAATGGGAAAAAACCAGTCGGATGTAAGTGGGTATTCACCATTAAGCACAATGCAGATATGATGATTGAACGGTACAAAGCAAGACTAGTGGCCAAGGGATTTACCCAGACATATGGAATAGATTATCAAGAAACTTTTGCCCCAATAGTAAAGATGAATTCTATTCGAGCTATTCTATCGTGTGTTGCTAATTTGAGATGGCCTCTACAGCAACTAGAAATGAAGAATGCTTTTCTTCATGGGGATTTGGAAGAGGAGGTATATATGGATGTACCTCCAGGATTCTCATCTCAGTCTACAGTTAGAAAGCTTTGTAAATTGAAGAAGGCTTTGTACGGTTTGAAACAATCTCCTAGAGCCTGGTTTGGTAGATTCCTAAAGGCAATGCTGGGATTTGAGTATCAGCAAAGCAATGCGGATTACACCTTGTTTGTCAAACGCAATGTACATAAGGTAACAGTGCTTATTGTATATGTGGATGACATAGTTGTGAGAGGTAATGATGAGGAGGAGGTGACCCATCTCAAGATGCAGTTAGCCAAGGAATTTGAGATAAAAGATCTTGGTCTATTGAGATACTTTCTTAGGATTGAAGTTGCCAGATCTGATAAAAGCATCTTCATTTCTCAAAGGAAGTACATTGTAGATCTTCTTAAGGAAACGGGCATGTTGGGCTATAGACCAACTGATTCACTGATCGAGACTAATCATCGTCTTTGTAATGGAGTTGGTGAGCTTGTGGAGAAGGAAAGGTACCAAAGACTTGTGGAAAGACTGATATATCTCTCATACTCGTCCAGATATTGCCTATGCAGTTGGGATAGTGAGTCAGTTTATGCATGATCCTCGTGCAACTCATTTGGATGCAGTCTATCGCATTTTGAGGTACCTTAAATCTGCTCCTGGAAAAGGAATTTTGTTCTCTAATCATGGTCACTTAAGGTTGGAAGTGTTCACAAATGTAGATTGGACAGGCTCTATAGATGACCGACACTCTTACCTCCGGTTATTGTGCTTTTGTAGGGGAAAATCTAGTCACATAGCGTAGTAAGAAGCAGGCAGTAGTTTCCAGATCTAGTGCTGAAGTTGAATACAGGGCTATGGCACATGGAACATGTGACCTAATGTGGCTTCAATCTTTGTTGAGTGATATTGGGCTTGATTGGAGTGATCCCATGACTTTGTATTGCGACAACAAGGCTACTATTAGTATTGCACACAATCCTGTTCAACATGACCGGAGTAAGCATATTGAGATTGACAGACATTTCATTGAGGAGAAGTTGAATAAAGGTGTGAAATGTATGCTTTTTGTTAAGTCTGAAGATCAACTGGCGGATGTTTTTACTAAGGGTTTTAGTAGTAAAATCTTTCACCCTAGTTGTTGCAAGTTGGGCATGAGAGACATCTTTGCACCAACTTGAGAAGGAGTGTTAAGTGTTAGGGTTAGTTTGGTCTTTATGTATTATTCTTATTAGTATAAATAGTTGTGTATGAGGGAGAAACCCTACGCTTTTTGAATTAAGAAATATACAACAGCTCTCTCTCTCTCTCTCTCTCTCTCTCTCTTCTTCTTCTTCTTCTTCTTCTCATCTATACATTCAACAGAGATGTGGATCCAAGCCCCACCGTGATCTATGATTCTATACAATATTTATGCATTTATGATATAATTTATGTAAATTCACATCACATCTTATATGTATGGCAATCCACATTCACTATAATATGATTCTATAAATATATGATCATGAATAAAGTTCACAACTTAACAAGTTCTAAACTTTTCAAAACTCTAATCTATATTTGTAACTTGTGTAAAAAAGAGACCATACAAAACAAAAGTTAGATTAGACAAATTTAAAAATTCCAAAAAGCCTTCATTTCTTCATTAATCAATCTTCATCATCTCCAAGGTCAATATCAGAGTTATCCTCTTCATCATCATCTACCATAGTCATTTCATCAAACTCTTCTTCCTCTTCCTCTTCCTCTTCTCCACCTTCAATCAATTCAATTTCATCATCATCTTCAAATACTTTTCTTTTTCCTCTATCGGCATTTAAATTTCTTGATCCTACGTTAATAAAAATAAATAAGGCTATGAATGAGCAAGTAAAGGTGAAAATATAGAAACTAAATCTTTGAAATTAACTTACTTCAAATATGTTTTTTCTCTTTTTGCTAATTGTTGCTCCTTCATCATTTCAAAGCACTCTTGGATGTCCATCCATGAATGATCTTTGGGTAAACATGGATCCTCTTTCTCAATAATCCATTCATAATTAGATTCCATATCCGATAAATAAATAGGATCATAAGTCTCATGCCTTTCTTGTCTCTTAATTTGTCTCAACTCAAGTTGAACGTTATACTTCACAATAACCAAAGCATTCAACCGTTGTTGCTCCAATTGGTTTCTTTTCTTGGAGTGCACATGATCAAAAGTGCTCCAATTTCTCTCACACCCGGTGGCACTACAAGTAGGCTTAGCACTCTAATAGCTAGCTTTTGAAACTCTTTGCACTTTTCTCCATAACTTTCCCATCATAGAGCTATAATAAAATGATAAAGAGATGTTAGAGAATAATGCATGCCAACATAATTGTTATGAAATTGTGAATACACAATTTCATAATCAAAAAATTTACTAGGTTGTTTCTTTTCCCTTATCAAGATAGCCATGCTCATACCAAACATACCCTCGGCCTTCTTGAACTTCTCTAATTGCTCATCAACCTTCAGTCTATCCTCTATATCCAGAGACATCCTCTCAATGGTTTTAAATAAACCAATTTTCACCTCCGTATCTGCAGTGAAGTTTTCTTGATAATGAAACCTAGAAAGAAAGATAACTTCATAAACAAATTTCACTACACATTTTGTATATAAGTCACACAAATAATTAGACAAAAGGAGTAAAAAACTTAGATGGGATTAAGGTAATATGCCGCCGCATGAAAAGGCCTATGCAGTTGTCAATCCCATCTAATATCAATAATTTCCCAAATGCGCTTATATCTACCCATCACATGGTTCAAGTTTGAAGCAATTTCTTCCTTCGCTCTATCCATAGCTTCATAAATAAATCCCATTGCCAGCTTTGCATCACCATCCACAAGCCTCAAAATTTTCACCAAAGGGAGCACACACTTTAAGCAATACTTGATTGCTTTCCGACATCTAGCATCTCCCAAGATTGTTCCTTGTGCCTTTTTTGCATTAACAGATGTAGAATAGGTGCTTCTAGCCCACTCTTTCGATGCAAACATAGCTAAGTTGGAGCTTTCTATCTTGGAAACTTTTTAAGTAAGGAAGGCGGTGGCAAATTTAGTAATGACGGGTCTTGTCAACTCCTTATTCTTTGTAAATGTTCTGAACAAATCAAGCACCCAAGCATGCCTATAAATGTACACAATGATTTCCTTGGCTTTAATTATTGTATCTTTGAAAATCATCAACTCACCTATGTCACTTAACATTAAGTCAATGCTATGTGTTGCACATGGGGACAAACAATTTAGTCCTCTTCTCTTCCAATAATCTACCGGCACCCACATATGCCGATGCACTATCGGTTACCAATTGAACCACATTTTCTTCCCCAATTTCATTCACAACGTCATCAAGCATCTCAAATAATTTCATAGAATTTTTAATTGCTCGGAGGTGTCTATTGATTTAACAAACACCGTTCCACTTGGACTATTAACAAGGAAATTAGTAAGAGAGCGAGACTTTCCATCCGTCTATCCATCGGACATTATAGTGCAACCCGTCTTCTTCCATTCCTTCCTATACACTTATAAACTAGCATTCACATGATCAACCTCTTTTTTCAAAAAGAATACTCTCACTTCATGATAACGAGGTGGTTTCAATCCCACACCATACTCACCAACTAACTTCAACATCTTTTTAAATAAGGGGCTTTTCACTAGATTACAAGCCAATGCATGCCCATAAATGACTCTACAAATATCTCTAATCACGGGCTCCCTTTGCTTTACCATTTGATTCAAAATTTGTTGCTTTGCCCTCCCCTTTGTGACATATGCATCCATAGTTCCCCCTTTACTTTTCCTGTCAACATTTTTTTTCTTCAAAACAATCAACATCTATAAGATTGCCTTGTTTTTTCCCACTTAACAGCTGTAAAAACATATTCATAATATCTTCAAAAACTTGACTACAAGCACCAACATTATCATGAGTTCCGGCGAAATGATTTTTCATTCGAATCACCCCACCCCAATAATCTTTTCCACAATAATTACATCTCAAATGCATTCTATTGTCATCTTTAACACGGATACAATGGTCCCATGTCGGATCTTGTGTCCCATGTTTCTTTTTTCTTTTCATATTTTTCTTATCCAGCAAAGAAAGAAAAATATTGATTGAAGACCAAAGAAAGCAAAATGTTTTTCTAATGTCCTAACAGCAGCTTCAATACCACAGTCCACAGTACACAACACAACAATAAAGTAATGGAAAAGTTTATAGTCAATATAACATTTTATAATACCTATGAGGTTTGTCTATTAGTAGCTCAAAGTAAAAGACCCAAGAGGACAAACTTTAATAAAGTTTTTTGCAAGTTGAAGACCAAGAAAGGCCACCGAAGCATATTCCTGTTGCAAATGGGCCACCAAACAGTGATAGAGAGCACTGCGTCAAACCAAGATAAGGAGAAAACAATGGCCTCATTTGGTTTGCTTTTGAGAAACAAATTTCGGAGAAAATTTTCTAAAATTTTGATTGGTTTGGTGATTTTGGAAAAAAAATTTCAAAATCACTGTTTATCTCCTACACATCAATCAATCATTTTTTCTCTCTCCTCTCTCCTTCTCAATAACTTTTTCTCTCACACACATCTACTCAACTACAACAAAATATCAAATCATCCCAAACTCCCACACTCTAAAACTATTTCCAAAATATACAACCAAACAAATCAAAAAAAATTCTAAACTCTTTTCCCAAGATTTTTTTTGAAAATTTATCTACCAAAACCAAACCAAACACACTCAATAGTTTTTCTAGGGTTTTGTCTTTTGGGAGTAAATAGAGACAATGGGTTAGGTTTGTTGGACTATCGTTTGATCTTAGAAGACCAAGCAACCCATCATCTAGCAAGAAAAAGCACCCAAAAAAAAGGGGCCAAAAATCAATTTTTCTTCATTCGGGCCTAAGAAATCTGGGTCGACCTGCGACAATCCTGAATTGTGCGATTCAGCAATTCGTATTGTGAATCGTTTGTTTTGTATGTGATTCTGTTCCATTTGCGATTCCACCAACCTATTCGGATCGATTTCCAAGTGTATCGAACCAAATCGTACGATTCGAATCTCGAATCGTACAATTCTAACAACAAAGCTTTATAAAGGTTTTAGAGACTTTCTAAATCAACTAGAACCAAAAAAGGAAACTATTATAATATCTTTGACTTCCAAATTTAAGACCAAATAAGAAAATAAATAAAACTAATTAAATAACTTGACCCGCAATATGATCCATGGCGGACCCCTTCAGCCCATGTCAATAAATATGAAAACTACCAAAATAACTTAATAATAAATTAAGACTCTAATAATACTAGAAACATGATTATGAATGGTTCCTATCAGTTTTTCTTTGAAATCATGCCAATTTTCAAATATCGTCACTTCTTTGAATATACTCTTCCTTGAGTTTCTTATACTTTGCATCAGTTAGACGAGGTGAAGAGACCCATTTGTCTCTGCAATGAAATTCCCAACCAAAACATGCACTATTGCTTCAAAAAGAAATGAGATTATTATCCCATCTTTGTCCTACATAGAAGACCCAACAGCAAAAAGTGTAGTAGTTGGGTCATGGTATGTGCCCCGAGCAAGTGTCTTAACCCAAAAAATAAATGGATTGCATCTTAATAACCCATTTGAACAATGGTAACCATCTTCATATGCAATATCAATCTTATATTAGGACGATAGACAATAACTCCACTTTTTTCAAAAGCATGGCATGTAAATGAAGATAAATGAAGATAAAACTTCCCTTGGCAGGGCAGCTTTGTCCATTGTAATGACAATATATACATATTGAGTGTAACCAACCATTATTTTAATATATCCAAATCATGGGAAGATATGTATCTATAATACCTTGATGGAGGAAAATCATTATTGCTCTAGCACAAAGGATAACCTTGACGATTATAGGCACTTTATATAAAAAACCACATATAATAGAGAGCTTTTGCAACAGATATGTGATGTGGCCTTTGTTTCTATGAAGATGTGAAGAATACCATTTTTGCTCTCTCAGTAGCTTCACATAGGTTTATTCCTTCTGCCCCACAGATTTTGTGGTAAAGAATCATGACAAAATTTCAATTTCAGAATACTGAAGTCAAAACAATAAAAACTTTGAGAGGATCCTGCAAAAGTCTCCTAAATGTAGAAGTGTCGAGACGTATAGAAGACGCTTGAGCCGACCTTAGCTGAATAGGGCCGAATACATTTAGCTGAAAAACACTCTAACAAGAGGGAGTTCAGAGAGAGAGAGAAGAAAGACGTACGTAGCTGTGACACCCCAAAGAATGCCATGTACTATAACTATATCATTATCCATATTTGAATATCTTAGGTCAAATTAACTATTGCATTGGCTACCTCATTATTCAAAATACTTGAAGGAGAGCATAGAAATGAGTAGTTAGAAAGCCTTGAGGAGGAGTGCCTAAGAAGAAGGAACTAAAGGATACTTCTGATTAATGAAAAACCTAAGACAATTTGGAAATAGAACCTTGGTGTGGAAAGTGATAAGTACATGGAGTTAAGGGATGGATTTTGAAGTGCATATTGAATGCCTAGATCACCTAAGAAATCTTAATTGAGGAGCTTAAAGACCTTAAACTAATGTGCTTGTCATTTTGATACTATTATTTTGCTAATTAGGATTAGTGTTAATTAAGTAGAATTAGTAAACATTAATCGTGATTAATTAAGTTAAGCAAGATTAAGTTAAACCTTGATTAATTAAAGACTAACCTCAAGTAATAATAACTAAGATTGACTAAACTAACGATAGAAGGATTAAGGAATTTGGTGAAGCAAACGAATAGGTGATGCGTACACCTCCCTTTTTGTCCCACCTAGCCTTTGACCTTGCCACCCTTTTGTCCTACCTTGCCTTAAAAAACCAAACAAGAAAAGAAAATCTGCTGGAGATTATCAACTAGAAGAAAGAAGAAGAAAGGAGAAAGAGGGAGAAGAAAGAATAAAGGAGAAAAAGAAGAAAGCTTGAAGTACATGTCAAAAATTCATCTTTTGATCATCCTGAGGTAAGATTTGAGCCCTAATTCTTGCAGTAAACTCACCTACTACTTAAGATTGAGAAGAAATTAGGCTTAATTTGAGTTAGCAAAGGAGGAACGAAGAAAAGAATGAGAAAAGAGATGAATAGAATGAAGAACAAGCTAGGTAGCTAGGTTTTCACTTTTTTGATCTTGTTTTTGATGTTCTTAATTCATAGGAAGTTATATTCCCATGTTCTCTTGATTTTAAATGATTTTACAAGTTCAAATTCATGTTTTGAATAAAGAAAAAGAAAGGTTTGTGTAAAAGCTAGTGTTCAAGAATTCTTCAACAAATCTTGTGTTTTGATTCTTAAAATCTTGAAAAGAAACTATGTTTTGATCTTGTAGCTTTAAAAAGAGTCATGTTTTCATGTTTTCCTATTAGTTTTGAATGTTTTTCAATGAGTTTTGAAGGCCTCAAGTCATGAATATGAAAGAAGGAGAAATAGAACAAAGTAGTATTTTTGGACTGCTTGATAGCTGTCACTTCCGCACATGCGGCCATGACTCCCGCACATGCGGCCACCCTCTCTAGAACCCAAATCTGCTACTGGAATAACCGCAGGTGCAGCCCCTGAACCCCGCACGTGCAGCACCCCTGCTCCAACACCAAACTTTGTTTTTCAAGTCTTGTTCACCTAGGACCCTCCCATGCTTGTATTTAACACTTGTTATGCACTTGTTTGAGACTTGAATTAAGTCTAGAATAATACTTAACACTTGAGAGAAGTTTAGGAAAACATTTAGTTAAGTCTAGGCACTCGATTTATTATACTTATACAAGTTAGACATTTCAACGTCTTGTTCTTGTTTTGTGTAGGTCAAGCCTTGAAAGAGTTTATCATTTGTTCAAAGAGCCATTTCTGAGTAGTAGTATAGTAAAGTTATGATGTAGGATGATTAGGGAAGCAGCGAATCTAGACTTTTAGGACTGATTTTAATTGGATTTTATAGCCGAAATCACAATGAGAAAATAGGATTTTGAAAGATTTGTATTGGGTGATAAAGGGGTAAGAGTTTGAGTATAAAAAGATGGGATTTTTCCACTGTTTTAGGGGCTGTTATGAGGCTGTAAACAGTAGCTCGTGAATAGTAAACTTAAACAGAAAAAAAATGAAGAAAGAAGAGAAGAAGATAAGTCTAGGCATCGCACCTAGATTCCATAGGCATCGCACCTAGGGTTAGGGTTGCATCACACAAACCTAAAAGGCTTCAAAGCTCTCAAAATTCCTTAAAATATCAACTCTATTAGATTAAAAGCATTACATGACTTTATATAGACTTTAGAAACTTCCTAAACTAACTAGAACCAAAAAAGAAGACTTCCAAAATTAATTTAAAGAGTAAATAAGAAACAAAACAAAGACTAATAAATAACTTGACTCACAAGACAACTCATGGACGACCCACACAACCCATATTCGGAAATTCTGCAAATTATCGAAGTATTCCAAAGCTTAAAATCCTAGAAACCATAGATATAATTATAAAATAAGACTCTAATAATACTAGAAACATAAATTTCTATCAATCTCTCTATGAAATCACGACAATGTCCAAATATCATCACTTCTCTGAATTTAGTCTTCCTTAAGCTTCTTATACTTTGCATCATTAAGTTATGTTTGATAAACTATGATTCAAAAGCAAACTTATGCTATGTTTACGAAAGTTAAGCTATTGTTTTTCCATGAATGAACATCTTATATTCTTGTATCATGTATTAAGATGACATCTTGGATCTTGTCTTTATTATTGGGAAATCATGTCAATAACCTCTTGCTAACTAAGCTTCTCTTGCCACCTGTTGTGGGTTTTGATGTTCTTGAAGCCCTTGGAATGCTCATCACTATGTATATGCTTGCAAGTTAAGCTTTGTTCTATCATGATCAAATTATATTATATTTGAACTATGATCTTGTATATGATTTTATTAAAAATCATCGGGGTTCATTCATTTACCACTTACTGTATTAATATTCACTGGGCAATGGCTCACCCCTCTCCCCTATATATATATAGGTACAAGAGAAGCATCATGAAGAAGTTAGCTCCCTGAGGTTTACATATATATGCTAGAGACGAGAGAGTTGTAATTAGTCTTGTATATATTGTAAACTTTGTAAATAAGTATGCAATCAAGAATGATGTATGTTTCATTATATATAGATAAGCACTGCACTGAATGGGTGCTCAAATGAATTTAATGGATTTAACTAAAGTATTTAATGGCTTCCGCAAATTAAAATAAGATTTTCCCCAATTATTATAAAAGTCCAACTTGTTTTTTGTTTAGTTAGGCCTTTAGTAGTCAAGGACTACTAGCTGATCATTGCACCATCCTGTTTGGGATAGGTTTGATTTGTGACAATAGTAAGAGAAAGTATGAGAGATAAGTCACTCCTATCAAAGATGATGAACTAGAGGAACCTAGAAAAAATAAGAGGGATAGAGAAAGATAATGTGGGCTAAGAATCCAGTAGAGAGAGAAAGTGGGAGAAAATATTTATCTTGGCGTGTTGAGTAGTGGGAAATAAATAGGTACATATATAGATATGGACCACATGTGAAGCCTATACACATTCATGAGGGACAACCAACAATTAGGGGACACATGTCCCTATGAGAGGGGAACACGTTTCATAAGCTTCTTTCCGATTCTTGCCTCGAAATAAATCGCTCTTAGCCAATGGTTGATGCTAACACACAAGGGATGATTTTCCAATCACATCAACCCTTAGCTGGATGACGTGATATCGTGCTAATGGATGAGACTAGAGAAAGAATTAACACAAAGTTAGCGATTTGGAGAAAAACACTTGAATCTAAAGGATTCCGAATAAGCAGAACAAAGACAGAGTACACGGAGTGTTAATTTAGTAACAGTAATAATGAAAGTAGAGGAGAAGTGAAGATTGAGAACCAAAAACTGTCTAAGAGTGAACACTTTCGTTATTTAGGGTTGATTATCACAACGCCAGGAGATATTGATACAAATGTGGCTCATAGGATTAAGGTAGGATGGAGTAAGTGGAGAACTGCGTCTGGGGTACTGTGTGATAAACAAATACCCACTAGACTAAAAGGTAAGTTCTATAGAACGGCTATTAAACCATCGATGTTGTATAGGACGGAGTATCGGGCAACTAAGAAACAATATGAAGATAAGATGAATGTGGTTGAGATGAGGATGCTAAAGTGGATTTGTGGCAAGACTAGACAAGACAGAATTAGAAATGAGTGTATTCGGGAATGTGTAAGAGTAACACTAATAGAAGATAAGTTAAGAGAGAATCAATTGAGATAGTTTGGTCATATTCAACAAAGACCAACAGAGACAATAGTGAAGAGATACGATACAGTGACGGTAGATGGAAGTGTTAGGAGACCGAGTAGAGCTAGATTAATGTTGGGTAGTGTTGTAAATAGAGATATAAATCTACTTAATTTGGCTAACAAAATGGCATTTGATAGAGCCGCATGGAGAAGAAGGATTCATGTCGTCGACCCCATTTGACGGGACTTAAGGCTTGGTTTGGTTGATTTGGTTATCAACCCTTAGCTACTACTCCCTCGTGACCCGCCAAACCACAACCTCCTTGGAGTCCCTTAAGTGACATAACGAGCGGCTACAAGTTGTGAGCCAGGTGCCTAGATGTGATCGCCTACAAAGCATAGTTTAGATATTCTCGTAAAGCTAAGGGAATTTTATAATATAGAAGCATGAAAATTTAAAAACACATAAAACTCCTCTCCATTATGATAAGGAAAAACTACTTGGACATACATGTGTATAGAATGGAGAGAAGGTGGGCCTATTTTGTAAGTAGCTGAACTCCTTATTTTTTTATTTTTTTTCATGAAGCTTGGGGAATTGCAATATCCCTCATCCCACACTGTTTAAAAGTTTCAAGCCAAGCACCACCTAAGATTCCTCTATCACAATCAAAGTAGTCTTGCAAACTTTTGAGAAATTTTATCACGTTTGTCCTTCTAAACTACCCAAGTCTATCAATTTCCATTGAAATGGATACACACACATACTTTAATAGACATACAACTAAACATTTTCACAGAAATCTGCAAAAATTGCTTTGGAAATGGAACAACATAGGGGCCATAATTTAACTTTAAATAATTCCAACCTTCGCTCCAACGTGAGAATTTCAACAGGTAAGGTACTTCTACAACTAATATATAAAAATTAAAAATTAAAAAAAAAAAAAAAGTGCACAGAAGAAAAGGAAGTCGGAATTGAAAAGGGTCATTTTAACAACTCCATATTCACTTCAATAAGAAAATCAACTTTACTAATTACATTGTCTGAACAACATAAATAAAAAAGTTCAAATATACAGAAAAAAAAAAAATCACTAACCTGTTCGCAAAGGAGGCAGCTTTTTCGTAATTGCTCGCCCTTCCTACCCCCTTCAAATGGAAAACCAAAGTTAATCAAACACTGAGTTGAACTCATATATATATATAGAGAGAGAGAGAGAGAGAGAGAGAGAGAGATCGGTGTTGATTTGAACTCATATATATATATATATATATATAGAGAGAGAGAGAGAGAGAGTAACCCTAGGGCGAACAGGAAATCGCCTGAGGCTCTGAGCGGAGAGGCTAAGGATCAGAGATTTGTTATATAAAGGCAAAGTGAAGAGCAGGGGTGAGCTATGATCAAGTGTTATGAGTTTTGTTATTGTGACAATAAATGACTACGTGGCAAACAGTAGTTGGCTTAGGTTAAGAAAAGTTGCAAACTGGGACGGTCCTTTTCAATTCTAACAACATTATAAAATTATACGGTTCTGCTATGTAGATCGAAATTGACCTGAATTCAAAGCGATGTCGTTTTGATTTTTCTTCTTTTTTTATTTCATAACTGGCAGAAGAAGAATAAAGAGGAAGAAGAAGAGAAGAGAAGAGAAGAGTAGAGGAGCAAAGAGAGAGAGAATCATTATCACCAACTAAAAATCAAATCCACCCAACACACCATCATCAATACAGAGAGATAGAGAATCATCATCATCAACCAAACACATCATCATCATCACACATAAAGATCAACCAAAAAAAATGTAAAAATTTGAAAAAAAATTTCAACACATTATCCTCAGAAATAGATCGAAGGAGGAGATCAAAGATCGGAGGCTCGGTTGTAGAGAAGAATTGGAAATCAGAGGCGGCAATTGACGGGCGATGGAGAAGAATAGTAGATTGGAGGCAGCGATCGACCCTCCCTCTCTATTCTCTCTTCTCCTCTCTTGTTATATAAAGGCAAAGTGAAGAGCAGGGGTGAGCTATGATCAAGTGTTATGAGTTTTGTTATTGTGACAATAAATGACTACGTGGCAAACAGTAGTTGGCTTAGGTTAAGAAAAGTTGCAAACTGGGACGGTCCTTTTCAATTCTAACAACATTATAAAATTATACGGTTCTGCTATGTAGATCGAAATTGACCTGAATTCAAAGCGATGTCGTTTTGATTTTTCTTCTTTTTTTATTTCATAACTGGCAGAAGAAGAATAAAGAGGAAGAAGAAGAGAAGAGAAGAGAAGAGTAGAGGAGCAAAGAGAGAGAGAATCATTATCACCAACCAAAAATCAAACCCACCCAACACACCATCATCAATACAGATAGAGAATCATCATCATCAACCAAACACATCATCATCATCACACATAAAGATCAACCAAAAAAAATGTAAAATTTGAAAAAAAATTTCAACACATTATCCTCAGACATAGATCGAAGGAGGAGATCAAAGATCGGAGGCCCGGTTGTGGAGAAGAATTGGAGATCAAATGCGGCAATTGACGGGCGATGGAGAAGAATAATAGATTGGAGGCAACGATCGACCCTCCCTCTCTATTCTCTCTTCTCCACTCTCTCTTTCTCCTCTCTCTCTCTTTCTCTTCCTCTTCCTCTTCTTCTTCTCTCTTCTCTCTTCTCTCTGTTTTAGACATATAAGGAGGGGAAAAAAAATACTCAAAATAACGTCGTTTTGGACAGTTGAGTCATTCAAGAGAGTGAGATTTCAAACTACGAAGAATTATCCAAAATTAAACTTATGAACCAAGGATTTATACAAAAGATAATTAGTAATTCAAATTCATCACTTTATATTTTATTAATTTAATCTTTATAATATAAATACATTTAAAATAAATTATAAATTAATAAACGTGAGTTCATAGTATTTTTGTGTCAATCCTACATCCAATCAGTTACAGCAAACCTGACGCTAACGGTCCTGTGTGATCATATCCAGTGGAAGTGCTCAAAAAAACATCATATCCGATTGAAAATGCTTTTGTTTTGTTCTTCCAAGTTTTTTTTATTTGTTTGTGCGTCTGACTCACTTTGATACGTGGCAGTTGATTACTAAATTATTAATATAATTTTTTATTAAAAAATTAGTGAAAGGGGTAAGACATTAAGGTCATGTTTGTTTGGGTGGATATGAGCTTGGGATTGGACTAATAGTCCAATAAAATTATTAATCCGATGTTTGGTTAAACAATTAAAGTAGGGATTAATTATTTTAAACTTGACTATTAATTAAGATAGGATACATAATCCAACGGATTCGTAGTCTTAGGACTATTAATCATGGGAACGTTAATCCAGTCCGCCCAAACAAACATGCCGTAAGGGTGTATTTGTTTGGACGGATTGAATAAGGGGAGATTATAATCTATCGGACTGTTAATCGCGGGATACATTGTCTCCGGACTATTTGATTGAATTAGATTTGTATTCTATATTTGTTTAGTCATGAGATTAGATGTCTAGATCAGACTATTTTTAGTGAATCCAATGTTTGGTTAAATGGACGGGATAAAGAAAAATGTTCAAAAGACTATTTTACCCTTGTAATTTATAATTTTTATTTAATATATAATTTTAAATTTGTAATCTATAATATATAATTTAACAACACTAAAAAATTTAATTTATAAGGCCATAATTTTTAATTTATTATTTTCAATTAAATTAAATTTATAATTTATAATTTATATTTTTTATTTAATATATAATTTTAAATTAACAACACTAAAAAAATAATTTTATTTAATATGTAAATTTAATTTTTTAACAACACTAAAAAAATTTAATTTATAATGCCATAATTTTTAATTTATTATTTTTAAATAAATTAATTTATAATTTATAATTTAAATTTTTTATTTAATATATAATTTTAAATTAACAACACTAAAAAAATAATTTATAAATGTTCAAAAGATTATTTTACCCTTTTCTAATTGTTTACTAAGTAATAGCATGGAGGGTAAAATAGGCATTTCACAAAATAATCCCATGGGATACCAATCCCATGGTTTCTATTCCATCCCCCCATGGGATAGGATAGTCCCATATTTGTAGGACTAATAGCTCGGGGGGACTGTTAGTCCGGGGTAAAATTTTTCAAACAAACAAACAATGGGACTAATAGTCCAATCCCACACTCTTATCCTTCAAAACAAACATGCTCTAAGGGACTAGTTAGGAACGTCAATAAAAAGTCAAAAATTAATTTTTAATCTATTTTAAGTTTTATTATTTTTTACATAAAAAAATTAAAAATGTGATGCCTCAAAAATTAAGAACATCAGATAATATATTAACTATCAAATACAGGATTTATCTAAGGTTACAAGAGTAGGAAACGCCACTAATGAGTCGTTTGGCTAATAACCAAACAAGATCCCAGGAAGGTTGGAGGAGTCAAAATAGCCTCCTTTCTAAGTCCAACCACCTTAAAAGCAAAGCTACCTTTTTGACCGATCTTGACAAGGTATTAACACAAGGTCTACATGAGTTGACGAAGTATAAGGATGGGTTACAAATGTTATGCATATACAAATTACAAAATCATGTCTTAAATACAACATGGGATCTATAACTTACAATCTCAAAACACGTTTAACATAACTAGTTCTTAACTCTCATAGGATAGTCATACGCCCTCAAATACTTCAGCTTCGCCTTCAACCAGCCTAATAGTCTTCAATACATGACATGAAACGCCATGAGTTTTGAATGCCCAGTAAACACACACACACCTCGTCCCTTTTTCCTAATCCAATACACTATCATATTTATAGCAAGCAAGTAGTGAAGCATGATATTCAAGTCAATAATAGCAATATCAATAATAGAGGAAAGGAACATGTCATTCAAATAGATAACAAAGATTATAATGTTAGTGGTTAGCATTCTAGAAATCCTCCAAAGAGATTGCATCCTCCCAACCACAAGAATTGGACACCGGACTATTCGGAACTCCCCCTTTTGCTGCTTTGTTGTAGAACTAACCTTGGATACCTACCAATGGTTATATCCCACGTAGTGCCAACTGCAGGGCCTCAAAAGGGACAGCGAAAAGAAAAAAGGTTTTATCTCCTGAAGCCAACCTTATCCTTCCAAAAAAGTTTTATCCTCCTAAATGTCCCATCCCGACCCAACCTTATTTCACCAATCAAACCATCGCAAAGAGTCTGAATATGTCCTTTCCATTCTAGGGTTTACATGACAACCGCTTGCGTAAGACTTAAATCTCCAATTAGAGAGCACATCCCATCAATCTGTACATAACACATTATCATCTCTTCATTATTCAAGTGATCGAAAACCCAATACCATCCCAATTAAGTTTTCCGTTTGGATCAATGTTTTAAGTCAAGTTAGAACAAACTCAACAAGATAGTAATATCCACATAAGCATGAGCATCATTAAAATGAAGAAGATAAGGAATATAACCATAACACATGCAATATCATACCAAGACATAATCATAAACTAATAAGCATGAACACAAGAACATAAAACACCCATGCAAAACTAAATTTCCAGATTCAATACCATTTAAAGATTAAAATCAAAAGGGATATTTTAGATTTTTACCGAACTCGGCCTTCCTATAGTTCGTAGAGAATTTAATCTAGTTTTCAGAACATGTTTTGGAAATGTGATAGCTTTAATGTTCCAGCGCTGCCCAGATTCGTCAACCGTAACAAAAATTGGAGTTTCTCACAAATCGCTCACTAGTTTTCAATGAAACCAATTTTAGTTGAAATATAACTCCTCAAGGAAGACTTTTACATAAAATTGAGGTCCAGAAGATTTTTCTAGAAATTTTGAAAGTTGGTTGTAAAACAGATTTTTCTGGCACAGTTCTTGCAAATAGAAATTTGGTGAGAAAAGAGGTTAACTTGGGGAAATTTTCCTCTTATCCTGTGATGAAAACTTGCTAAATAATATGTATTAAACTCAGAAATTTAAAGTGAAGGTGTGCCCTTTGGAAATTTTGAGAGCTTGATATGGAAAAATGTAGTCTTATACCGATTACGAGAAATACAAGAAGAATATAATCAAGGCTTAACTTCTTTCATTTCTAACACAAGAATACCATCAAAACACATCTAAAATGAATGTTTAAAACTTCTAAGAGTATGTATTTGAAAAAAGAAAATAAAAGAGAGAGTTGTGTTGTGGCTTACTTGATTGCCTAGTGAAGTGTTTGCACAATTGTCTTATCTTTTCCTCTCATTTACTATCAAAGTTCACTCTCTTCCTCTTCTTTCTTTCTCTCAACTGAATGTGTAGGTGTGTGAGTGTATGAGATGTGTAACATGTGGAGGGTGGTGATGTTTTTATAATAAAATTGGTGTA